CGATTATCTTAATGCTACGAACCCACTGGGCACAGATGACAGACATCAGTTCATTGTCTAGTTTTGATTTAGCCGACATTTTTGGTTGAGTTATCAACTAACCTGAATTCAACGTGAAATCAACAAATGTCTCCATGTCATTAGATTCAGGAAAAATATATGAAATGCCCTTCCATTGATTACTTTTGGCAAATCCATTCAGTTCAACGTCACCACATAGATTTTTTGGCAGTAATTTCATTGAAGCACAAAGACAAAGTAGTTTTGCTTTTCATCACACTGTATATCTCATTAGCGAATGAACTATATGAAAACCAAACGTCTATATGAAGTCTTCAACCACAGATAAGATATCCTAATTCACACTTGAAGTGAGGAATCCTTTAACGTCACTTGAAACCAAGATCAATATTGAACGACTGGGGTCAGTCCACGTGCAAACTTCAACAGTGTTCAAATAAAAGTTTAAACAAGCGACAGAGACAAATAGCCTACAAGTGATGTCCACCAAAATGTGGTTGCATCTATAATAATATGCCATTTAGCAGACGCTTTTATCCAAAGCGACTTACAGTCATGCGTGCATACATTTTTGTGTATGGGTGGTCCCGGGGATCGAACCCACTACCTTGGCGTTACAAGCGCCGTGCTCTACCAGCTGAGCTACAGAGGACCACTATCATATAAAAAGATGACGCATCAGTAAACAATAGGCTAGAAAAATATATATTTCGTTTACTGGCCAAATGTTATTTTAGATGATGATCATTGAAATAGCCAACTTTTGGATGAATTTCTAAACGAAATAGAATCGAAAATGCAACATAACAAAATTGAAGTGGGCTAGCTGCCCATTTCCCCCCAAATAAGATAATTTCCTGCAAAATCGAAATTTGAAGAAAAATACATAGGAATCAAACGGGTTTAAAAGGCTACAAAATAAGTCTAAGTCTAAGTCTATATTTATATTTAGGATTTGCCGGAGCATCACGATGTATTTTTCTTTTAGGAAACTGTGGAAGGGAGTGGGGAATAAAAATGTATTAGGCTTATAGGCTATCTATTGGGCAAAATATGGGTTTTCGGCGAGAATAGGTATATGCTACTGTAGGCCAAAGAAAGAGCTAAAGCCTCAATTCTAATATAAGCCTATCGAGCTGTAGTTTAAAGGTCCAATGCAGACGTTTTTATCTCAATATCAAATCATTTCTGGGTAACAATTAACTACCTTACTGTGATTGTTTTCAATTAAAATTGTCAAAAATAAACAAAAATAGCATCTTAGCAAAGAGCAATTTATCAAGCAATAATTTTGCTAGGACTGTCTGTGAGCAATTTGAGTAGGGAGAGGAAAACTGAAGATTAGCTGTTATTGGCAGAGAGGTTTGGAACTCTCTTTCTTATTGGTCTATTAACTAATTTGCTGCATGGTGATGTTGCCATGGAAGGCTAAAACTCCCTCCAACCAAAACAGGCAGAAATGTCAGGCAGTCTTTTAAAACATCTCTTACACTAAAAGGGCATTATCATAATTTTCACAATTTCACAGTGTTATTCCAACCTCATTGTGTGGAAATATATATAAAACACGGAAAATCACAGTTTTGACTGCACTGGGCCTTTAAGACAATTATTATAGCCTAGTATAAAGACCTACAGTAACATGTGTGAAATACAATTACTGCAGTGTTCATGAGATGCAACTGAGGTGACAAAAGTAGTGGCTGGATAACGTGTGATGCTATGGACCTAAACAAATTGCATGAGTTCTGCTTCATCTATACATACATATAAGCCTGCTGTGTGCACGGCGTTTAATGCATAAGGCACTAATAAGAACACGACCCATAGGCCCCACACGTACAGTGACGAAACCGCCAGTCTGCCTACACACCTCACACACCATGGTCAGTTGAAGCAAAAAATTGACTGCTCCCTCGCAACACATACAGTTATGCGGTGGTGAAGTGTGTGTGCCAGACTGATGTAAGTGCACACTAGCCTCCTGTGTAATGGTGTGTAACCACTGAGGTGACATGGCACGAGAACTGGACACCTGTACACTGGACACCTGTACAACTGGACACCGCACACTGGCCTTCCTCCAGCCGCCACCACAACTGGAGAGTGTGCTGGTTTGAGCAACACCAGCAACACCAACTTTTGAAAAACTATTCGATCAAATTAGCAATGGAAAAACATAACTATTTGGTGTCGGTTCATATTTTTATTTTGAATTGTGTTATTTTTGATTGAAAGAATGCATTCATTAGACTGAGACACATCTACAAACTTCTACTGGAAATCAAACGAGAGACTAGATGTTTTGGGCTGATTCATTATCTCAAATTTACTCTATTTAAAGTATGTTCGTTTTATTTAAATGAGCAGGCTCCTGTGTATGAGGACTACTGAATAGAAAGTGAGCATATCTGTAAACCATTACAAAAATAAAAATTAATTCATGCAAATGTTCCTCGTTTCACAACTGGCATTTGGGGAACCTTTTAGTTTTTGTTTGGTTTCGTCACGTGACATTTGCAGAGCCACACTTGAACACAACCTTCCCATTTTACCAGCAGGAGGTCCTTCGTCTCCCAAACATGTATTTATGCACCCCCCCCCCCCCCCCCCCTCCCCCCCCAAAAAATAACTCCATAGACCTACATAGACTTCAGTCAATAATGAGGGCCTCTTTTGTGGGCTATAAACACGCATAATACAATATTGAAAGTGTTAAAAATATTGTGCAATCTTTCAGCAAGTTGGCCTAATATAGTTTATTCCCCAGTCCCTTTATAAAAGTCATCATTTTCCTTTCAATTGATAATTGGTGCATATTTATTTATAGCACGCAATTAGGCATCCAGTTTGAATATTAGTTTAGCCTACATTTCTCTAAAGAGATTATTAAAATATAATAATTGGCATTTGAGTGACAAAAGCTCAAACTCGATTAAAATGTTCAACTAACTATAGGCTACAGAAATAATACAATAAAATATATGACATTCAATTTCAACGTATTGCTTATAATCAAACTATAGGCCTACATTTTGCATTGTTTCTGAATATTCCAGAAATAAAAGAAGATTAGTCAAACCATGCTTGTATCAATGTAAATCTACTAGACAAAATATCTAACGGTGCAAATAGTAATAAATAATGATTTGCTAATATGGAAATACAATTTTAAAATGCTGTGGAAAAAAGTTGAATTAACTTCTTGGTTTATATAATATTGCCACTTAACAATATGAAATGCTGTGATCTCTTCGGAGTCAAAGTGCAGACGTTTAATCGATTATCTTCTCAGACATGCTTTCATAAAGACACAATACAAAACTTGAATGAGAATAAATATACTTTCTAATTTGGTTATTGATAAAAGTCGACACATTGATTAAGTAATTTGCCCTGTAGTAAGCGGCCGAATCAGCTCTATAGATAGGCCTATCAGTTTTGCGGTGCATCTTCCAAAGTAACAATGGACTCGCAACGAGACTAATACAGATCTTATTTAAACTTAAACTATTTTACATTGTGTTTCTTGTTCAAAACATTTTTGAAAAACATATTTGAAACATGCATTTATACCTGATACATCGCGACATGTTTGTGTTCCAGTGGTCCTCTTTAGCCAAGGAATCTGCACAGTCGTGTACAGTAGGTTAATCTGTTTAAACTAGATGGTGTAATTCCTATTCTATCCAGATGAGGGAAAATTGTGATTCTGTTGGGCAGTCCTAGAGATTTAGAAAAGTGATTTTTACAGAATTCTACAGAGTCAAAGCAATTTCTAAGCTAAACAAAACAGATAACGTAGCCTATCACTTCATCAAGATAGTCAAGAAATAATGGTTCATTTATTGAGAAAGATTCAATTGTGCATATGCTTTATGTTTGATTTAGCAGATAACATGGAGAGCAGTGAGCCACACTAACTAACTGTACCTTCACTGTAACTTTAATGAACGATCGCCCACTCCTCTTACTTCGCCTCCATCCAAGGTTGATGTGGTGACCTAACCTGATGTTTTCCATGTGTCTCGATCCCTTCAAGACCTGTAGTGAAGTGGCCAAGAGAGAGGGGATAGTGACACTGCACCTTGTTACCGTTGGGTCGACTGTTAACTTTTACTAGTGACATTTTGCGAGCTTATAAACGATACCTTCTTAACTTCCACAGGAAACACAGAGAACATGCTGTGATACTGCTAGCCTCTGGAATTCAGTCAATACCCTATAGTCTAGGAGCATTGCAACCCACAAAGGTATCGATTACATGAGCCCTATAGCATGTTTGATGCTAAGGATGGAGGTGTAAAAAAGGCCTTACCGGTTAGTGCGTCCCTTGGTCTGGGTTGTAATCGAAACTTCATGTGACACTATTCTGCGATTCCCATGGTCTGCTATCTCCGGCCTCTTATGGCGCACGAAACACATCATGAGCCAGCTCCCAGGTGAGAAGCAACTGCGGTCAGTTGGTGCCCGCAATGGACCAAAAAACGCAACTGGAAAATATATCAGCAATTGTCCCGACTTAATTGTAACAGCATAATAATAGGCATTGCAAAATAAATACATTGATTCAAATGAAAATGGAGTTGGCAAGTGTTCGTGGAATTTATATGAAAATGGATGGTGTGAAAATGTATCAAAGTGTATGGAATGAAACATGTCTGAAAGATTGTGTTTTATGAGACAAATTGGTGGATAAGATTCTAATAGTTCTCTGATCAAAATATATAGGCTACACTGCATGCTGTATTGCCAAGTGTCACACAAAATATTGTAAACACAATCTACATTAGTGGAGAAGTGCCCATTGGAAGTCCATCCAAAGCACAACTCACCTCATTCGAAAGAATCTCTCCAATGGTTTACAATGTATTTTCTATTTACCAATGCATCATGTTCGATAAAACGTTTCCCCTCAGTCACTTAATCCCTATGTAAAATACGGAGAGAGGTTGAATTGCGCAAACCGGATGGTGCATATGTGCAACAGCCTATCCACCGTCAGGACGGCCAATGAAACAAAACCAGAGCTCCAGCATGGTAAGATTGACGTAGAGGGACGGGTCAAATTAATCCCAACAAATTTCAGCATCCGGGATAACTCAATTTTGCCTTTATCAGATGAAGATCACTTCAGTGCCATTGTACAAAGCCGTTTCTCTCAAAGCACTGTGACAGAAGAGGGAGAAGAACATTGGAAGGAGACTTTTTAGGAGTCCACATTTTTTTCTTCAACTTTTTGCTTCCTTCATTCGTGCAGAAGGGAGAACCACCGCATTCAGCCATAGAGGGGCAACTATTTCAAAGCATCTCGAACCACAGGCAAATGGGTAAGCTTGCGTTAACATCGGCATGCTTCAGTGAAAGAAAGCTTATGGAAGCATAACCGTGCTTAACACGCCTGCATAACGCCAGAAATAACCATACAGTTGATTTCGGGTTGTAGATAAAGTGAACATATCCTTTTCCAGAACGAATGGAAGGATAGTTTACTCGACAGGCATGTAGTTTTTTCCCCGCGATATGCTAATGCAGTTTATTCATAATCAAGTTCATATTCAATGGTTGATTGACTTATTAAATAATGTATGTAAAGAATATTGAAATGAATTGACATAAAACTTAAAAAGTGTCAAAACTGTCACTAAGATCCAAGGTAAGTTAAATATCGGCTCCTGATGTGAATAGTAATAACAACTTGCATTAGCTCGCCATTTTGCATGGTTACATTTACTGTGCGAGTATGGAATGCATGAAAATAGTTTTGTCTGCTTTAATGATGGAATATGTTCATGTATTCCCTTTATTCCCTGCAGAGCAAACCTATGGCGAGGTGAATCAGTTGGGTGGTGTATTCGTCAATGGACGACCTCTGCCCAACGCCATACGACTACGGATAGTGGAGTTGGCCCAGCTTGGAATCAGACCGTGTGATATCAGTAGGCAACTTCGCGTCTCTCACGGCTGTGTGAGCAAGATATTAGCTCGGTACAGCGAAACGGGTTCCATTTTACCCGGTGCCATCGGGGGGAGCAAACCACGGGTTACCACACCGAATGTAGTGAAGAACATAAGGGATTACAAACAAGGTGACCCGGGTATCTTTGCCTGGGAGATCCGGGACAGGCTTCTAGCAGACGGAGTTTGTGACAAATACAACGTGCCGTCAGTCAGCTCCATTAGCCGGATTTTACGGAACAAGATTGGAAATCTTTCCCAGCCAAACCAGTATGAGAGCAGCAAGCAAGCCCCCACACAGGCCGGCCTCTCTTACAACCACATATACCCCTATTCATACCCCAATGCTATGTCACCCAATGGCAAAATGGGCAGCGGTCCCGGAGTACCCGTGCCGGCCGGGCATGTAAGTATATCAAGGGCCTGGCCGTCGGCGCACACTGTCACCAACATTCTGGGTATCAGGGCCTTCATGGATCATCAAGGTGCGTAATATTGAATCTATTTTCCACACACACAGTTGTAACCCATTTTCCAATAATTGTCCAAGTGCATTTGGGGTGACTGGCTCGAGCTATTGGACGTGCTGTTCATTATTTGTCCATGACGAATTATTTATAAATCATGTTTTGACGTGTGTTCATCAGGCAGGAAATTTGCCCTATAAATCTTTGTGGGGCTTGCTCTGTAGGCATGCTCACTGGCGCCTAGGCAAGCACCTTGCTTAGGCTACCTGTTAAAGCCTCCTCGTTCCCCGTGGGACCTAAGGTCACTCACTATAAGGTCCTACTCGTCATGTTCTTAGTGATGTGTTGCCTCTAGGCCCCAGATGGATTTTCGGCCATGGCTGCAGCGCTGCCATCAAGGAAACAAATTAAGTTAGCAAGTAGGCCTATAGCTATAGCATGTAGCATATTCGAAATAGCATAATTATGATACATGCTTGTACAATGATGCGATATAATAATAGATTATTTGATGTGGCATTGACAATTTATAATTGCTATAAACGTGTGATAGCCTTGTCCACATTTCCCCCTATAGATTCCTGACGAACAGCCTATAAAGTTATGGATTCAGAAACGAAAACAATAGGCCTTGCTGGATACGCACAATTACGCACAATTAGATGTATTGTTTTGATAGCATTTTAAGAAATGTATAATCAAATGTATGTATAACGGGCAATATTAATATTAAGTATAAAATGTAATTCAGGTCTCATTTAATATTTTACAGTTACTAAGGCTACAGGCTGCTTTCTTTATATTGGATCATTTGATAGGCCTAGTTATGAATATCAATAGATCAGAGGCATTTTGACAGTTTCCCCCTAAGTGCAATTTGCTGTTTCCTAATCAGCTATTGCTGGAGCAGAGGGATATCCACCGAAAATGGAAGACTGGAGTAGTGTCAACAGAGCGACGTTTCCCTCGGCTCATGCAGTCAACGGAATCGACAAATCAGCCATTGATGCGGACATAAAATATGCACAGGTAAAAACAACAAGAACTCATATGAATGCAGAAGACTATTGCTGCGTTCTTTATCTGCAGAGAGACTGGGCTCGAAGTGTAGCCTAATATAGTGTGTATTGAAAGGCATTCATCTGTTAAATATAGGCTTGTTATTCGCAAGTTGTTTAAATGTTCCTCAAAATGTTCAACGTTTGCTCCTGCACTATTCAAAGAAGATTAATATGACATAGGTTGAATTGATATATACTGTATACACACTTATTTCATAGATGTGCAAATGTTTCGTTCTGGGAAACGTAAACCTGACATACTTTCTGTGGGTTTTTGCGTATTTTCTTGCAGCCTTCATCGACATTATCCAGTTATGTCCCTGCTTGTGCCTACTCACCTTCAAACCAGTACGGCGTTTATAGTGGGCCAGGTAGCTATGTGACCCCTGGGCACCCTTGGCAGTCCCAGAACTCGAGTTTGTCCCACCCAAGCAGCGGCATGACAATGCACGCGGGAGACATCCACTCTTCAATGCTGTTCAAACATCCATCGCGAGAAGGTAGGCCAGATCCTGTTTGATAGTGTTCTATTCTTATCACAACTGCGATGACTCAAGTTTAGCATAATTTGTAAATCACTGGCAGCTCACTCGTTTCCCTCCAAGTTTCCTTCATCTATGGCAAAAAACATCGCTATTTTAAGTTCAAAAACAAGGTGTAAAATAACACAATGTGCATTTTTATATTTTTGTATCTTCTTTACATAGCCTATTTAAAAACACACTTATTAGGCTACCATTAATCTAACAACTGTTGTCTAATTGTGGACATTAAATATCACATTATGTCACTGTCAAGCCCCACAATAATTATAATCATGAGTTATAATGGGGGACTCAAATGTATAGGGTATTAGTGCAAAAGCAATCTAGGCCTACATTTGCAAAGGGTCTCGATATTGTAGCAGCCTAAAATATTGATTTAGGCCTAATGGTGCGGACCTATAGTGTATATAAATCTATGTCAGATAAATTAGAATTATTTTAGCCTGAGATAGGCCTGAACCAAGTGATCTCCACCATTATACATGTATTCTACTTATGCTTCGATTAAAACATGTTCTTATTCTTTTGATAGCTACTGTATATTTTAATTTCAAATTAAATGATACAATTAAAAACATTCACTGTTCTAAAAAGTTAGTAATAGCCTACATATACAGATGATATGGTGTTGACGAAAATAATGCATGGATATATTCGATGATGACTCGAGGTGTGAACCCAAGAAGACAAATGTGGAGGTTATATTGCAGAGTGTGACAAATGTTATCAGTAAATGAATTAATAATAATAATAATAATATATAATTTTTGTGTATGGGTGGTCCCGGGGATCGAACCCACTACCTTGGCGTTACAAGCGCCGTGCTCTACCAGCTGAGCTACAGAGGACCACCAATTAATAGTGTACAATCTAAATGTCATGTGAAGTAAAAAAATAAAATAAAATAAATCAATAAAAATACTCATAATTGCCTAAAATAATGTAGGAATAATTCAAATATGGTATCAAATGAATAGCCTTATAGTCTAACATTGACTATTATGATTATTAATAACCTAGTTTGTATTTAAATGTTGCATGTAGTAGTCTAACTTTCAGGTCTGTATAGGCCTAAAATAAAATCATTTTGGTTTTTAATAAATATTGGCATTATTTTTTAGTTTTGCTGAAGTAAAGAGTAATGGCTTGTGTGCTATACAAACGTCTCCTGTTTGTGTTCTGCAGGAGACAGAAAGCCCCCCAGTCCCCTAAGCAAGCAACTGCAGCACGAGGCGTTGAGCAGTGTACACGGACTCGATCTCCCGACCTCATCCTCGTAACGCCAGGGAGCTCGTGCCGCAAACCGAGGACTCAAAACTCACAATAGGCCTATGTAAGGAGCTGCAGAGCCTTATCTAATTGAGGGAATTTCAAGAATTCAAACAGTAAGTGCAAGCACAATTTATGATTTGTTTGCCAAAGTGTTAACTATTGAATGGGCCCTTATAGCCTAACGCATGTGCATACAAATGTATCCAACTATAGATAGCCTCCAGTCGGTCTGTGGCCTTATGATTGTAAACTTATGAGGATGTTGAACTGTATTGGAGTCTCCTGTCCTCATGCAGCAGAGTTGGTGGTTGGTGGTTGTGTCGTCTTTTCATTGAACTACTTCATGTATATTTCTGTAAAAGACTGCAGGATTTAAATGCAATAATGTCTGTCATTGATGTTTCATTAAACAAGTTTGCTATAGTTGACAATGGAACTGTATCTTGTACACGCAGTAAATTATATTTTCTTAATTGGTTTCAAATCTGGTTTCTACAGACAAATTCAACGATGTGAACAAAGTGATACATTGTAAATGTAAAATAGCTAATTGCCAAAGCTTTAATTATATATTTTTATAAATCCATTGTAAATATTCTAAATAAAGGCATTGTAAAAGAGAACCGCTCCTGACAATATAAAAATTCTAAACAAATACTGCACACCATCTTTCTAAGTCAAATGTGTTTGCTTAGCGATTTAAAGCGCAGATATCGAATGCACTGGGTGTCGCAGATCATTAGGAAGCTGTTAGAGGTAGCAATTAGATTTTGATATCAGCAAGATGGCCGAAGTTGATATGTAAAGTTGTCGGTATGTATGAGGGAAATCACTGCGTATCATGCTGGGACAACGTGTAGGTGCTAATCTCTTTGCCCTCATGGGCGCTACCATGCTTCTGCGTTAATGGGTCTTACTGCTTTCGGCGCCTCCAGTGATGGTATCTTAGCTCCTTCTTCTGGATACTTGCCATGAGGCAAATGAAATAACCAATCAAGTGCATGTGCATGTTCTTTTGCAATAGAGGCTGACGGTGGGCACTCACACACACACACACACTTAAGGGTTGGTGTGACAATTCATAGACTGCATACCATCACTGAAGGCGCCGAATGCAGTAAGTTATATTTACATTACCTACATAAATTGGGAACATACTTTGCAAATTGTGGAATAACAGTGACATTCTATAGCCTATGATTTGGGCAATACTTGTTTATTGTTATGTTTGTTGCATGGTGTGTTCAGGATTCAGTTTCCATAAGATATACTCTGCTGAAAATCCCCGAATATGCGTGGTGTTGTGGGTATTGAATGTTGGGGATTTTGAAACAATCTGCAAAAATGCGATGTCATTATAGCCTGAAATGTACGAACATATAGACATTTGGTTCATCAGTTCCTTCACATACTGATTCATTTGAGACATCTGGACATTATACATAGGCCTATGTTACATAACATGTCCACACAACCAGAACGGCTGTATCTGAAGGATTTGCAACAACTAGAACGGATGTCTCTGAAGGATTAGCATTCTCTCAAACTAACAATCAAAAGTATTTCAGGCCCAAGACCCCATTCAAAAGTCAGTGCATGCGTCTCACTCCAGCCATCTATTAAACACTGTACATGCCATAGGCTACATCCCATAAACTGTGCATTCCAATTCACAAAGTAAAACTTAGTTATTACATCGTAATTACATAGCCTTTATTTTTCATGCACCACGAATTCAAACAATGATTAGTTATATTTCGATATAAATGCAAAAGTAGAATTTAAAGGGTTGTAATTTGAGTAGACAAGACATACATTGACCGACAATCAAAATGGGATAGACTTTAATCGGGAAAACGTATACAGTGCCATCAGAACACAGTAGGTTGGTGGCACCTTAATCGGGGAGAACAGGCTCGTGTTAATGACTGGAGCAGAATAAGTGGAATGGTAACAAACACATCAAACACATGGTTTCCAGGTGTTTGATGCCATTCCATTTTCAATATTCCGGACATTATTATGAGCCGGTCTCCCCTCAGCAGCCTCCTGTGCTTCAGAAAATATTCACACCCCTTGACTTTTTCAAATTTTTGTTGTGTTACAGCCTGAATTTAAAATTGATTAAATTGAGATTTTGTGTCACAGATCTACGCACAATACCCCAAAATGTCAAAGTGGAAAAATGCTTTTAGAAATGTTTACAAATTAATTAAAAATGAAAAGCTGAAATGTCTTGAGCCAATACAGTGAGGGAAAAAAGTATTTTCTCCCCTGCTGATTTTGTACGTTTGCCCACTGACAAAGACATGATTAGACTATCATTTTAATGGTAGGTTTATTTGAAGAGTGAGAGACAGAATAACAACAACAAAATCCAGAAAAACGCATGTCAAAAATGTTATGAATTGATTTGCATTTTAATGAGGGAAATAAGTATTTGACCCCTCTGCAAAACATGACTTAGTGCTTGGTGGCAAAACCCTTGTTGGCAATCACAGAGGTCAGACATTTCTTATAGTTGGCCACCAGGTTTGCACACATCTCAGGAGGGATTTTGTCCCACTCCTCTTCGCAGATCTTCTCCAAGTCATTAAGGTTTCGAGGCTGACGTTTGGCAACTCGAACATTCAGCTCCCTCCACAGATTTTCTATGGGATTAAGGTCTGGAGACTGGCTAGGCCACTCCAGGACCTTAATGTGCTTCTTCTTGAGCCAATCCTTTGTTGCCTTGGCCGTGTGTTTTGGGTCATTGTCATGCTGGAATACCCATCCATGACCCATTTTCAATGCCCTGGCTGAGGGAAGGAGGTTATCACCCAAGAGTTGACGGTACATGGCCCTGCCTATCGTCCCTTTGATGCGGTGAAGTTGTCCTGTCCCCTTAGCAGAAAAACATCCCCAAAGCATAATGTTTCCACTTCCATGTTTGACGGTGGGGATGGTGTTCTTGGGGTCATAGGCAGCATTCCTCCTCCTCCAAACACGGTGAGTTGAGTTGATGCCAAAGAGCTTGATTTTAGTCTCATCTGACCACAACATTTTCACCCAGTTCTCCTCTGAATCATTCAGATGTTCATTGGCAAACTTCAGACGGGCCTGTATATGTGCTTTCTTGAGCAGGGGGACCTTGCAGGCGCTGCAGGATTTCAGTCCTTCACGGCGTAGTGTGTTACCAATTGTTTTAAAAAACTTAGTTATTACATCGTTTTCTTGGTGACTATGGTCCCAGCTGCCTTGAGATCATTGACAAGATCCTCCCATGTAGTTCTGGGCTGATTCCTCACCGTTCTCATGATCATTGCAACTCCACGAGGTGAGATCTTGCATAGAGCCCCAGGCCGAGGGAGATTGACAGTTATTTTGGGTTTCTTCCATTTGCGAATAATCGCACCAACTGTTGTCACCTTCTCACCAAGCTGCTTGGCGATGGTCTTGTAGCCCATTCCAGCCTTGTGTAGGTCTACAATCTTGTCCCTGACATCCTTGGAGAGCTCTTTGGTCTTGGCCATGGTGGAGAGTTTGGAATCTGATTGATTGATTGCTTCTGTGGACAGCTGTCTTTTATACATGTAACAAACTGAGATTAGGAGCACTCCCTTTCAGAGTGTGCTCCTAATCTCAGCTCGTTACCTGTATAAAAGACACCTGGGAGCCAGAAATCTCTCTGATTGAGGGGGTCAAATACTTATTTCCCTCATCAAAATGCAAATCAATTTATAACATTTTTGACATGCATTTTTCTGGATTTTGTTGTTGTTATTCTGTCTCTCACTGTTCAAATAAACCTACCATTAAAATTATAGACTGATCATTTCTTTGTCAGTGGGCAAACGTACAAAATCAGCAGGGGATCAAATAATTTGTTTTAAGGTCAGGAGTAAAAATGTGCTTAACAAATCATAATACGATGCATGGACTCACTCTGTGTGCAATAATAGTGTTTACCATGATTTTTAAATGACTACCCCATCTCTGTACCACACACATACAATTATCTGTAAGGTCCCTAAGTCGAGCAGTGAATTTCAAGCACAGAGTCAACCACAAAGACTAGGGAGGTTTTCCTATGGTTTGCAAAGGAGGGCACCATTGGTAGATGGTTAAAAAAATATTGAATATCCCTTTGAGCATGCAGAAGTTACAGGCGTCTTTCCTAACTTTGTTGCCGGAGAGGAAGGAAACCGCTCAGGGATTTCACCATGAGGCCAATAGTGGTTTTAAAACAGTTACAGAGTTTAATGTTTGTGATATGATAACTGAGGATGGATCAACAACATTGTAGTTACTCCACAATACTAACATAAGTTACAGAGTGAAAAGAAGGAAACATGTACAGAATAAAAACATTCCAAATCATGCATCCTGTTTGCAATAAGGCACTAAAATAATACTGCAAAAAATGTGGCAAAGAGATTAACATTTTGTCCTGAATACAAAGCGTTATGTTTGGGGCAAATCCAACACAACACATCACTGAGTACCACTCTTCATATTTTCAAGAATGGTGGTGGCTGCATCATATTATGGGTATGCTTGTCATTGGCAAGGACTAGGACGTTTTTTTAGCATAAAAATAAATGGAATAGCGCTAAGCACAAGCAATATCCTAGAGGAAAACCTGGTTCAGTCTACTTTCCAACAGGCACTGGGATAAATATTCCCCTTTCAGCAGGACAATAACCTAAAACAGAAGGCCAAATATACACTGGAGTTGCTTACCAAGATGGCATTGAATGTTCCTGAGGGGTATAGCGACAGTTTGATCTTAAATCGACTTGAAAATCTATGGCAAGACTTGAAAATGGCTGTCTAGCAATGATCAACAACCAACTTGACAGAGCTTGATACATTTTTTAAAGAATAATGTGCAAATATTCTACAATCCAGCTGTGCAAAATGTACCCAGAAAGACTGACAGCTGTAATCGCTGCCAAAGGTAATTCTAACATGTACTGTATGACTCAGGGGGTTGAATACTTATCTAATCAAGATATATTAGTGTTTTATTTTCCATTAATAATTTTAAAAAATATTTTTCTTCCGCTTTGACATTACAGAGTATTTTGTGTAGATCATTGACAAAAAAAATACAATTAAATACATTTGAATCCCACTTTGTAACACAACAAAATGTGGAAAAAGTCAACGAGTGTGAATACTTTCTGAAGGCACTGTACATGGTAAATGTGGCAAAGCAATATGCATACACATTACTTTGAGCCCTGTAGTTGATCACTTGATTGATGTTAGCCACATACCGGTAACGGCCAAAATAATGGAAACACTTGACTAATGAGGGATACAAAGTATATTGAAAGCAGATGTTTTCACACAGGTGTGGTTCCTCAGTTAATTAAGCAAGCAACATCCCATCATGCTTAGGGTCATGTATTAAAATGTTGGGCAGGCCATTATTTTGGCTACCTTGGCTATGCCCCTATATGATGACAGTGCCCCCATCCACAGAGCAT